GGGCTTCTGGGGGTGGAAGCTCTCCTGCAGCCCCCCAATTGCCCCCTCTCCCCAGATGGCAGCCTGCGGCAAGTGCAGCCGGGCTGATGGCCGAGTGCTGTGATGTACCCAGTGTGGGTAGTCTGGGCACTCCAAGCCAGGCCTGGTTTTCAAGCGGGGCACCCCTGAGAACTGTCTGTCCGGGGTGGGGGTCAGGACCCTTTAAGCGCAGCCCTCGGCTAGCCTGAGACAGCATCTCCACGCTCTAAGTCCTCCTCTGATGCCCTGCCGGCACTGCTTCCGGCCATCCTTAAGCCCTGTTCAGGGTCCACTTAATGTGGACATGCTAGTTCGAATTAGTAAAACGCTAATTCGAACTAGTTTTTAGTTCTAGACGCTTTAGTTCGAATTAGCTTAGTTCGAATTAACTAATTTAGTTCGAACTAACTCTGTAGTGTAGACATACCCCAAGTTTGCATCCACCATTGTACCTGTGGTGCTCCACCGGATGCTATGTGTAACCCACACAACTCCTGGGTGTCCTATCTAGTAGCATGGAGCCCACTTACAGAAAAAATGAGCTTGCACTACAGCCTTTGCTAAGCCAGATGGCTTTTAGTTCATGCAGTAGAGGTTCATGCGCAAAGCTCCAGAGTTCCCAGGTTCAGTTCTGCCTGTTGGCCTTACAAGTGGAGGCTCTTCTGGGATTTCAACTGGGAACGCTATGAAGCTTGGGAGGTACTCCCTCAGCTAGGGGAAGTATATAGCCCACACACTTTCTGGGTGTGGTACACTGTCACATCTAGTGACACTGAGACCACTTACAGAGAGAGTAATGAGTCTGCTCTATAGCTAATAGCCAGCTGGCTTTTAGCTCATCTGGTAGAGGGTCATACACTAAGCTCCAGAGGTCCCAGATTCGGTTCCACCTGTCGGCATTACATATGCTGTCTCAGCTGGGACAGATTTGGCTTTCAGTGCCCTGGGCAGATAGCATATGAGTTTCAAACATTCTCACCTTGTTCCTGTCACATCTGCATCCTCCCTTCAACTTGATGGAAATAAGAAAGAAAATTATTTTGTCTTTTGTTCCCCTGGGATAGTGATGAGGAATTTCAATATTGGATTGATTAAACTAGATCATCCCCAGCAAGATTGAAAGCACCTAGGAAAGACACAAAGAAATAGCAAGGGTCACAAAAGGAAGACAGAAATGTATTGTTTTCTGGTTTTGGAGAGTTCTGCCTTGCACAGTGGAAACTTATTGTATTGTACTGTAAAATTAACTCAACAACAGCACTCTACTGTACAAAGAGAGTTTGCTGAATGATTCTGTGTCATTCCAATGTCTCAAGCATTTTGGAGCAGGAACTGCCTGTTATGGGTTTATTCATTGTTTAGAACAACATTGCCTTGACCCAACATTCACAGAATACTAGGACTGGAAGGGACCTCGAGAGGTCATCGAGTCAAGTCCCTTGCCCTTATGGCAGGGCCCAGTACTGTCTAGACCATCCCTGATAGACATTTATCTAACCTACTCTTAAGTATCTCCGGAGATGGAGATTCCACAACCACCCTAGGAAATTTATTCCAGTGTTTAATCACCCTGACAGATAGGAACATTTCCTAATGCCCAACCTAAACCTCCTTTGCTGCAGTTTAAGCCCATTGCTTCTTGTTCTATCCTCAGAGGCCAGGAAGAACAATTTTTCTCCCTCCTTCTTGTGACACCCTTGTAGATACCTGAAAAATGTTATCATGTCCCCTCTCAATCTTCTCTTTTCCAAACTAAACAAGCCCAATTCTTTCAATCTTTTTTCATAGGTCATGTTTTCTAGACCTTTAATCATTCTTGTTGCTCTTCTCTGGACCTTCTCCAATTTCTCCACATCTTTCTTGAAATGTGGCACCCAGAACTGGACACAATTCTCCAACTGAGGCCTAATCAGCGCAGAGTAGAGCGGAAGAATGACTTCTCGTGTCTTGCTCACAACACACCTGATAATGCATCCTAGAATCATGTTGGCTTTTTTTGCAACAGCGTCACACTGTTGACTCATATTCAGCTTATGGTCCACTATAACCCCTAGATCCCGTTCTGCCATACTCCTTCCTAGAGAGTCGCTTCCCATTCTGTATGTGTGAAACTGATTGTTCCTTCCTAAGTGGAGCACTTTGCATTTGTCCTTATTAAACTTCATCCTGTTTACCTCAGACCATTTCTCCAATTTGTCCAGTTCCTTTTGAATTATGATCCTATCCTCCAAAGCAGTTACAACACCTCCAAGCTTGGTATCATCTGCAAACTTAATAAGCGTACTCTGTATGCCGAAATCTAAATCGTTGATGAAGATATTGAACTGAAAAGGTCCCAAAACAGACCCCTGTAGAACCCCACGTGTTACTCTTTTCCAGCAGGATTGTACACATTGCCTCAAGGCACTACAATAATAAACAGGGCTCGCCGAACTGCGGCGAGCCCCGCTCGCCAGCTGCGCTGTCCAGCAATCTGTACATGTTCAGATTGTTCTGCATATGCACAGGTTGCCCGAACCTGGCTCTTCCAGGTTGTAACCTAGTCGCCCTGGGCGAGTAGATTACATAGTTTGTAGAGCCCTGATAATAAATAATAATAATAATAATAATAATAATCCCCATGCACAGAACAGGAATTTAATCCCAAATCTCAAAAAATGTTTTAAATTTGTTTTTGAAAAAAAAAATTGTGCATGGGTGTCAAACCACACTAAGGGAGTGTATTTTATACACCTTTTAGTCTCTATGGATTTAAAAAGATTATATAGCATAGTTATTCATGAGGAGGATAAAACAGAGAGGAAAGCTGCTCCAGAGGTTAGAAAATTAGACTTGAGAGACCTGGATTCAAGTCACTGCTCTGTTTCAAATTTCCTATGAGATGCTGTGCAAGTTACTCAACATCCCAATCTGTAAAATGGTTCCCTATCTATAAAATGGAAGTGATAGCGCTTCACAAAGGTGTCGTGAGGATAAATACATTAATTATAAGGTACTTGGACACTATGGTGTTGAGGGTAATAGAAACGCCTTAGATAAATAAGTTAACCAGGGTACAAGCTTTATTGACTTTAACAGGAGCTGTGCCAACCACTACTTGTGCTGAATTTGATCCATACACACTGGGATTTAAGACCTAGATTTCATTTCTCCACAGAACCCAGAAAACTAACTGACCAGCAAGCTGTTCCAACAGCAACAAAGAGCAACCCAACCATGTCACTCTGATTATTCACACACATTTTACTTACCTTTATCTTGGTGCACTCCCAAAATCACTATCGTGAGTTTACCAGATTGGAAGAAAGCTCAGTCACATGCTTTTGTCCTAGAGATTACAGTACCTGTCACTGTTTAAGTCTAACACAAAACCATTTGCTGACGTGCCATACAAATAATGGAAAGAGCAAAGCTATTATTCTCAAATACAGTGTTCCAGCCACTATGGTCTGTGTGATTTTAAATGTTTAATGGGGATTTGACTGCAGAATAGAAGGGCTTGGTTGAATTGACCTCAACAAAGTCATGCTGAGAAACTGAAAATCCAATAGAGTGAAAGGCAAAGTATCATCCCCATTTCTTATTGCTTCCTGTGAGCAGAGGGCATTCAAACTGAGGAACTATATGGCCAGCTTTAGGATACCGGAAATTTTGGTTTGCTACATTTCTAAAACAGAAGCTATCCTTCAGGTAAGAATTTATGCCTCAGGACATTTTCCAAAGTGGCAAGTAAACACAATTCCCGCTGGAAATCAATAGCACTCAGATGCCTAATAGCTATTTCTGCCTTTGAAAATCTCCTTCTTAGTCACTTTTTGTGCATATACATGACCTGAGCTTCTGTAATAAATAGCTATGACTCCCTTCTAATTGCACTCATTTTTCTTTCCTTCTAAATTATTTTATTTTGGGGAGAGGGGTGGGAGGTTATATTTCTTAATCAAGTGGAAGTTTCAAGTTGGATTTAGCATTGGAGAATGTTTAGGGAAGTTTTAATTAAACTGCAAGGTGTCATTTGCTTGCTTCTGTTCCTTTTACGAGAAAGCTCTCAACAAAGAGAAAATGTTGGCGCACATTAGGCAATTTTTGCCTACTCTGCTCTGTTGAACTCTAAACAAGCAATTTACGGAAATATTTTTGTGGTCCATATTGCCAAAGCAAGATTCAAATAATAATTTTACCTGACACACATGGTTCTCTGAAAGAAGGAAGCTCCTATAAACAGAGCATTGAGTCCAGATCATGCGTCACCTTCCTGGCTGTCTTCCTGGTCTCCAGTATACGAGTGGGCACTGAGCAAATCTGAAAAAGAGTAGAAAAAGATCTTTTGTATTTTCTCTGAACTGCTCAGCAGCATGTGACTTTGCTGAAGACACAACTTGAAACAGAGCTTCCTTGAGCCTCTGGGATAACTCAGAATATAAAAGAGGCAAAGGCAATGGCCACAAACATTACACTACAGCAACTAGAGATGAGCTAAATTGCCTATTTAATCCCAATTCTCCCAATCCAGCAAATACCTTGAGATGCCGCAAAATTTTCAGGGCTCCCAGCCCAATTCATCTGCTCATCTCATCCCAGGCATCACTTGTCTCCATCCTGTGTGTGCTATGGATGCTCCCCACAAGCCCAGCACTTCTTTTCTTTCATCTGAATTGACCATTAAGGAATCCCTTAGCAGTCAGGGATTTGGCAAGAAGCAATCAGCTATGCATTACACTGCCTTTCGTTGTTATTTAGATTGTAACAGGGCCTAGAGAGCATAGGCACAGGAACTAGGGATACTGTAGCACTATTAGGTATTAGCTAGGGCTTTTCTGCCAGGCCCGCACTCAAGGTCCTGGCAGCCACCACCCTGCACCGAAAGTCCCGGTAACTGTCATTCTGCACCCAGAGTCCTGGTTGCCACACATACACCCTGGGTCCTGGCTGCTGTCAAGCCCAGGTCTGTGCTCCTGGCTCCATGCCCACTCTCAGCTGAGGGTCAGACAGGGGTAAGGGAGATGGATTTCAGGACCTCCACTATTAAAAGTGTTCCCGTGCCACTGCTAGAGTGCCCTAAGTGAGCTCTTATTGCCACCGTGCTAGGCATTGTATAAGAGACCAGCTTGGCCTACACATAAAAGTTAGGTTGCCAAAATTCAACCCCCTGAGCACTGTAGCTATGCCATCAGTGTGCAATCTATGCTGGGGCTGGACTTGAGAAAGAAAGAAAGAAAGAAAGAAAGAAAGAAAGAAAGAAAGAAAGAAAGAAAGAAAGAAAGAAAGAAAGAAAGGCCTTTTTCTTTACAAATTAAGCACTGTATACCCACCTAGCTCCCAATGTAAAGGCAGCTAGGTATGCAGAAGAATTCTTCAGTTTACCTATAGGGCTATATCCCCTCAAAGGGTGGATCACCTACAGCAATGGGAAAACCCTCTCCATCACTGTAGAGAATGTCGATGTAATAGCAGCGTAGCTGCACTACCACCAGTGTTATTCTGCTGTAGCACCCATAGCATAAGACCATGGCCACAGTGTTTGCCTGACAAGAATACAATATGAGACAAAAGGGTGGGAAAACAGGCAAAGAGATTTGCCCATGGTTACACACCAAGTAAGTGGCAAAGGCTTGAATAAAACCCAAGTTTGCTAATTCTCAGCCCTCTGGCCATAGTACCATTATCTGACTCTGCTACATCTGGATCATCTCCCACTGTGGAATCTGGATCACAAACAGCCTTAATGAAAGACTAGCAGCAACAGTGACAGATGGCTATATCTCTCTGTCATGCAATACAGCCTGTAAATTACAGATTTCTTACTAAGGTAAACAGGCAGTGTCTACACCACAGGGAAAAGTCAGAAAAAGATATGCAAATTGTGAACTGCAATTTGTGAATCTTTTGCCGCTTTTCTTCAGAAAAAGGCTTTTCCAACATTTCGCCTATCTCCATGGAGCCAAATGTCAGAAAAAAACCCCTCTTTTGGAACATCCCTTCTTCCTCGTAGAATGAGGTTTACAGGGATGCCGAAAAACACGTCTGCTTTTCCAATTTTTTTTTGAAAAAGCAGATGTGTTCCTTGGACACAGTATCCCTCTGGTATCCCGGAAAATCTCTGCAGTGTAGACATAGCCTTAGAGTTATATGGACCCACACTCTCGGTCTTCACAAAACATTTGTGCAGGTATAGAATTAACATTTGTAGGGACAAATGGGCATTCATGCAAATAGGTGGGATAACTGTACAACCACATAGAAGGCTCAGCAGTGCCCCTCCTCACCAAATCATAGTTGCTTCTCCTCTCTTGGCAGCAGATGGCTCCATCTTTTTTACTTCTCCAGCTGTTTTTCAGCTGTTCCTGAGGGGGTGGGTAAAGCCAGAGTTTGCTGTAGCTGAAAAAGAAACAGCCAGCAGGGAACAAGCAATTAAGTTGCAGCCCATAGGAAAATCTTCATGGAACACACAAGTCAGTTCTTAGAGGACGTAAAGTGCAGAAAGAAGTAACAGTCATGCCTGGGGGGCAGATACAACTATGTATGAGGTAGGGTGCTGGGACAGAAGCAAGTGTGATGGGAGAGGGTATAAAAAATGAGCAGAAGCAGCCATGATGTGAACAATTCAGAGAGTTAGATATGCTGAGGGAAATGAGGAGAGGAAAGTTGTCTTCTCAGCCAAACTTGTAGACAAGTTCTAGAAAAGGTAGACAGTCCAAGGTTGGTGCTGCTTGCTGGACAGGATTAATGCACAGAAGACACAGAAAGACTGGAGGTGGTCATTACGTAGCATTTTCAAGGGGCAAAGAACTAAATGCTGTGCACATCTATCTGCCCATCTGATTTACACATCAGTCAATATAGTGATCTAACAAAGTAACGGAAATAACTATATCAACAGAGGGCTCTGTGTTTTTGTACAGGTTCATTCTCTGTCTCTCTCTCCCTCTCCCTCAAGTTTGCATAATCCCTTCAAATAAAATCTTCTAAATGTTGTCTGGGAAGCGCTACAAAGTGAAACCTCTGTGGGCCACATGGCCATGGTGTGACTGTTGTGTGCTCAAGTAATGATCATTCCACAATATATACCACATGCAATTTGTCTGTGATAATGGATTGGCTGGTTAGTTTTGCTAGAGAAATTAACCATGGCACTCTTACAAGACCTTGTTTTGTCCTCCACTGACTACTCTTTCTTCTTAACTAGCTCTAGTCATGTTTCTTTCCCAGTGCTCCTCTACTTTCTTCCTGCAATGGCTTATAGGGGTGAATACCATTGAATCCACATAGTAATTATCTACACAGATGGCCATTCCCCAAGTAAATCCTCTTTGATACCGAACAGTTGTTCAACACATCAGTTTTGAGTTTACTCCATTGGTTCAAAGTATGTTGAAAACTGCTTCACGTCAAACCAAAAAATATCACCCTTCCAAAATAGGCCAGTCTAAAAGTGTGTACATTTGCTGAAAGAAAGTCCCTGGCGTGTTTCTCTCTATTTCTGTGTTTTGACTCTGCTGCATAATAAATCAATCCTATCCACATTCACTGAAGCAGGACATTGTCTTCATACTATCTGTAAAGGGCCCAGTGCATGGTTGTCCTAAATAAATAATAAAATAACTCAATAATGCTCAGAATATTGTGCTAATTACCTAGGGTTCCTCTTGTTAATTTCTGAATCAGTTCATTACCCACCAGGCAGGATCATGGTACAAAAATTCTTTTAAAGAAATAAACATACCCCAAAGTAGCACATGCACATAAGGCCATGGAAGCATTGGTATGTTTAACTGTGGCAAGTGAAATTCACAGCAAGAAAAAGAATCTGTTGCTCAAGTGAACTATGGCATGTAACTGGCACCTTTCCAAATGCCACAGTATGCTAAACACTTAACACAAGTGCAAAAGTGAAGCAGCACATAGAAAGCTTCCCCCTTCTCAGCACTGCCCCATATAAGAACTTTTCTCAATGTGTCTGTGTCTAGACTGGCCACTTTTTCCGGAAAAGCGGTCGCTTTTCCAGAAAAACTTGCCAGCTGTCTACACTGGCCACTTGAATTTCCACAAAAGCACTGACGATCTCATGTAAGATTGTCAGTGCTTCTGCGGAAATACTATGCTGCTCCCATTCGGGCAAAAGTCTTTTTCCGAAAAACTTTTGCGCAAAGAGGCCAGTGAAGACAGCAGAGATTTGTTTTGTGTAAAAAAGCCCCGGTCGCAAAAATGGCGATCGGGGCTTTTTTGCGGAAAAGCGTCTGTGGCCAATCTAGACGCGCTTTTCCGCAAAAAGTGCTTTTGCGGAAAAGCGTCCTGCCAATCTAGACGCACTTTTCTGAAAATGCTATTAACGGAAAACTTTTCAGTTAAAAGCATTTCTGGAAAATCATGCCAGTCTAGACGTAGCCTGTCTGTCCCTGTTTTTCCTCTAGATCAGGGATCATTATAATTATAATCAAAATGGGTGGCCACATCCTCAATCTACATCAGCCCACAGATAGGACAATCATCCTGATGAATGGCCAATCCAGCACAGCCCCATTGCATGCTGGGCCATTGGTGGGGGAGAAGGATTATGCCTAAGGCAAGGCCCACCTCCTCTCAAAGATTCCCATTGAGCAGGGTAATTCTACATTGCTTCCTGCTCAGGCTGATGGCTGAATGCCACTGCTTGGTCTCAAGCCTGTTTTCAAGGCTCCAGTTTCATTTATCTGGGTGTTAAGATGACTGGGATAGCAGTGGGAAGCTGACCTGGAAAGAATGAAAATGGTAGAATACAGTTGCCAAAATTTAGAAGAAGAACTTTTGTAACAATGTTTTGTTTTTATGTCTAAACATTAATTAATCTTTCCAGTAAAACCAGGTTTTGTGAAGCACAGGGTTTTTAAAAGGAGTGCAATTAAAATTCCTCATGTAAAGCTACTTTCCACCGTTCAAGCTAAGACCAATGCATCTTAAAAAATAAAAGAAAACCACAACCATATGTGCACAAAGAATATCTGACAGCCTGATTTTAATAAATGAACACTTATTTATCTCTCAGTGCCTTTTTTCATAAGTGTCCTCAATCACATCACATCTAATTTCTTCACAAAGATTTCTACCAGATGGGCATAGAAAAGCTCATACCATTCCAGCCATAGCCACTCAGATCCTATTTTCAGATCAAGTACTAATGGCAAAATTTATTTTTTCAGTTCTTTTCTTTTCTTTTCTTTTCTTTTGGGGAGGAAGGAATGAAGGGGTGGGAACCTTCATTTTTTCATGCAATGACCAAACTATCAAAATTATGGAATCCTGCCACATTCACCCTCAAGTTTATGTCTGTGTATTATGTTTTGGGGTTATCTTTGAAGTTCCAACAGAATTACACTGGCTGGGACCCACTCTGGTTCATGTCTTTAGCCAAGAACTTGGACTTGAGACAGGTTCACGCATAGAACAGAAAGCTGTTTTCCCATCACATGAGACTTTCAGAGTTTTCATTTCTTTCCTCCCCCCAAAACAGGATGAAAGTCAGTCTCAAAAATGGTCACAGGATAACAAACTAAAAAACAAAAAGAAATCATTTGGGGTCAATTGCGAAGCTTAGTTTGGATAATTTTGAAACATTCCATTTTAAACTTGTCCCTCTGAGACTTCTTAGACATTTTAGTCTAAATTTATTGCAAAAAATAAAAATGACTTGAAAATCCAAAACTTTCGCCTTAAAAAAAAAAGTCAAAATATCCTCTTTCAAGGACTTTTAAACTTTTTTCTTTATTTTTTTTAATTGGGAGATTTGTCAGAAATTATTCCATTTCATAAACAGTTTAAATTTAAAGAAAAAAATGGCTTGTTAACAACTTTCCAGACAACTGTTATTTATAATTCCCCTACTTCTTTACCTAAACTCAGGATGAATTATGAGTTATCCAGATACTTAGAAGCTTATATTTTAAAAGTTTATTATTAAATGGAGGAAAAAATATTTTAAAATCATGTCTAGTCTTTGCTTTGTTTAGTAATTTAGGGTAGGATTTTAAAAGGAACCTATGAGGTTTAGTTGCTCGACTCACAGTGAAACTCAAGGGGAATCAGGCATCTGCTGCTTCCTTGAAAATCTCAGCTTTAGTCAGATGAAACACAATGCCAGAGTCAAGGAATTAAGTTAGTATTCATACAGCAATCTGTGCCCCTTTAACAAGAAAACAAACAAACAAACAAACTAGGATCACACAAAGGCAAAATTATAACACGATCTGAGGAAGTTATGGAATCTCATTCTTAGCCAACGTGGCTGATCCCAAATACAAAGATACTAGTTTGAGGTCAATTGTGGACCATAATCCTTTCCTCCTCAGGTTTAAAAAAAAATCCACATTTCTAATCTGATCTAGATTTGCTATGCAAGTTTTGTCACAAGTTATTGCACCAAAATGGTGGGAAACTGTGGAAGAAAATACGATAGAATGTGAAAATTTGTTAGTTATTTAAAACACCTGCACTCCAGTCTAACCAACTCATTGTTAATAAAGATTTTTTTTCTAGGACCTTTGGATTGGTTTTGTCAAATAGGAGAGCTTGATTCTGGAAAGCAAATATGTTGGTAGAAGTGCAGAAGTATCTAAGGATATGTTTACACTGCAGGGAAAAGTCAGAAACAGATACACAAATTGCAAACCGCAATTTGAGTATCTTTTTCTGCTTTTCTTCTGCAAGAGGCTTTTCCAACATTTGGCCTGTCTACACGGATGTGGCATTCCTAGACGTGGCAGAGCTTTTCTGGGATACCTCCAGTAGCCCAGAAAAGCTCTGCAGTGTAGACATAGTCTAAAGATAGGTCTAACTATGTAGCAAATTGAGGAATCAAATACGTTCTTATGTATTACTTAAAAAATTGCAAGACACCTTGAAAAATGACACCTGAACCTCACAAATGATTCATCATGGACAGAGCCTTTTACTTGCATGGAGGTTTATTTAAGTCACATTACTGTCTGTCCAAACAAAGCATGTGTATTATATACATTCATATTCATCTAACATTGAGCAGTCACCATTGCGGATGGAAAACAGCAGGCATTTAACAGTGCTCAGGTATTAGCACAGATAGACACGCCTTGGAAACTCACAAACATTGGGGACAGACAGGGAAGGAGAGTATTGTGGTAAAATGAAACAATAACGAGAAGTTACAGAGACAGAATGTAAATATGTTGAATGACACCAGTGTTAACATATTCCTAAAACTGTAGAAAGTACCACAGAATTTTAATGAATGAAAATTTCGTATTTTCAGAATTTCATTTTTTTTTTAATTTTGTATGTGAGGTAACACTTTCAGTGGAACAATCCTCTCTCTACT